CTGTCTTTGTGTCTGTCTGTCCGCCTGTCTGTTATAATCACGCTATCTTTCGAACAAATTGAGATAGAAAGCTAAAATTTTTCACACATGTATATTTTGCCAGTAGGCAGGTTAAGTTCGTAAATGGGACATGTAGGTCCAAGTTATCATATAGCCCCCATATAAAGGTACCTCCCGGTATTCGGTATTTTGATGATTTTTGCGACATTATTCACCGGAATTGTTTCGAATTTGGCATTTGAAGTTCGTAATGGATACTACAGTCTAAGACAGAAAATTATCTGTGCAGGTCCGCGTCTTCGTATAGCCCCCATATAACGGTACCCCCCGATATTCGGTATTTGGATGATTTTAGCGACATTATTTACCGGAATTGTTTCAAATTTCGCAAGTGAAGTTCGAAATAGATACTTCATCCCATGCCAGAAAATTTTCTGTGCAGGTCCACGTCTTCGTATAGCCCCCATATAACAGTACCCCCTATATTTGGTATTTTGATGATTTTAGCTACATTATAAACAGATTTTTCTTCAAGTTTCTCATTTAGATATTGTAATAACTTATGACAAAAGTTGCCTATGCAGGTCCACGTCGTCGTATATAGTCATTCGGTATTTTTGAGATTTTAACAAAATTTTTAACGGATTTTATTTATTTATTTTTTTTTTTTTGGATATTGCCAAATTTGTGCCAAATGATGGAGGGTATTAAAAGTTCAGCTTTTTTAATTGTTTTTTTTTTTAACATATGTAATGTCAAATTTTCCATATGTTGAAGTTGCACATATCTGTTTTGTTGTGGGAAAATACAGGGTGAGATAAAAAATACTGCAACTACAAAGCCAAACGCGATATTTTTTACATTTTCTTCTCAAATTTTATTGAATGAAAGCTAATAATGTCGGAAATAGCATCAAATTTTATAATAAGTTTAGATTTGATCGGATTGGTCACCTTTGGCCGTCAAACGGCCAATGAAACCGTCATACGCTGCCCGAATGTTGCTCTGCGGTACATTGGGCCATTCCCGCGAAGCACTTGCTTGAGGTGATCGACACTTTGGTAATTTTTATTGCCAACCTTGCTTTTCAAAATACTCCAGACACAATAGTCCAACGGATTGGTATCCGGAGATTTTGGTGGCCATTGTGCGCTGGAAATGAAGCGGGGAACCTCATTTTGTAACCATTTTTGGGTGGCGCGTGCTGAGTCCTCTTGGAATGTCCAAGGTCTGCGGCCAAAATGTTTGCGTGCTCAAGGCTTTAATACACCCTCCAGAATATTTTCGCGATAATATTCGGCATTTATTCTGATGCCACGCTCGATTAATACGAAAGGAGAGCGACCATCGGCTGTTAAGGCGGCCCACACCATGGTCGGCGCTTGATTTCTGATGGCCAACCGAAAGTGCACATTTTCAGCTGACCTCTTCGGCAAGTAGACACGATCATTTTGTTTGTTTACAAACCGCTGGACAACTGTGGCGAATGTTTTCTCATCGGAGAAAACCAAATTCGGCAGTTTACCACTTTTGGCCGAGCGAAGCAAATCTTTAGCTCTTTTGAGTCTATTTTTTTGTTGCGGTGTAAGTTCTTGCACTTTTTGGAATTCCAATGGCTTTACCCCGTGCTCATTTTTCAATATTTGTAGAATGGTATATTGAGATATGTTCAGCTGAAGAGCCATTTTTCGTGGTCGCTTCTTTGCTTTTCGAACCATTTTCTGCTGATGTTGTTGATTTCTTCCCTCCACTTCCCTGACACCGGGCTACGCTACCAGTATCACGGTAACGAGCGATGGTATGAGACACAAAATACTTATTCACATTTAAATGCTGGAGTACTCTAACCATAGCCACTTGTGGTTTTCCAGCCAAATATAAAGAAATCACACAATCACGCCTGAATTCCATCACGAATAACTTTTTTTTTTCTGGAAAATTCTCACCAAAATGATTTCGGACGCTTGTAAACAATATAATGAGCTGTCACTGGGCCATTTTTAACAGCTGTCGGAAGAGTGGCTTAGACATGACAGCAGTCTGAAGTTGGTTGCATTTTTTTCATCTCACACTGTAGAGCCCTTAATTTGTATGTTTCGGAACACTTTTTCAGATACTGTCAGAGGACATAAATTTGCATTTTTTTTAGATTTTTTATAAAGAGCAACCAATTTTTTAAAATATTTTTCCAGGACCTAGAGGCCAGAAAACTTTGATTTTTTTTCAAGACCAATCAAACGTGAATTTTTTTAATGTTCTTTCAGGATCATCAGAGTCTAAATGTAGATTTTATAAGAATATTTTTAATGGACCATTGAAGGCCTTAACTTGTATGTTTGGGACCACTTTTTCAAATAACATCAGAGGCCAAGAAATGTGAATTTTTTACCAACCAAATGTGAACTTTTAAGATTTTCCAGGAGTGGAGACCAAAAATCTGTAAATTTTTGAAGTGATTTTTTCAAGGACCAACCAAAGATGGATTTTTTAGAATATTTTTTTTTTCAAGGACTATCAGAGGCCTTAAACTGGATTTTGTTAAAGTGTTTCTTTTAACGACCATTGGGCGCCACCAAATCAATTTTTTGTAATATTTTGAAATTTAAATTGTTTTCATCAGTTTTGCAGGTTTTTCATCTCTCCCTGTAAGCCAGTCAAAAAGCGTTTTATGTATACTCACCTTTTTCTGATTGGTTAACTATCAAAGTTAACCCCGATAACGATTTGGATGTAAACGTACTTTTAGGGTATACCATGGTCAAAGGTAGAAGAATATAGGTAGACGCATCAACGCTTGGGAGCATTGATATGTCAAAAGAATGTAAATGTTTTTTCAAATATCAGTAGATTTTTATATGTTTCTTATACTACGTCATTCGGAGGCTATTATAATTCGCGTTTTTCAACAGTTTTTTACAAATTTAAATAATTTTTCATTCAACATTTTCAATTGCAAAATTGGTTTGACAGTTCATTGTCCCAGCAGCTGTGTCGATGCGTCTACCTATATTCTTCTACCATGAACATGGTCGAGCAACCCTGATCTCATAGTTCTTTGCACTTGTTATACCCTCCACCATAGTATGAAGGGAATATTAAGTTTGTCATTTCGTTTGTAACACCTCGAAATATACATTTTAGACCCCACAAAGTATATACATTCTTGATCAGCATAAAATTCTATGTCGATTCAGCGATGTCCGTCCGTCTATCCGTCTGTTCGTCTGTGGAAATCACTCTAGCTTCCGAACGAAATGAAGTAGGTTGATAAAATTTTACTCAAATGTGTACTATGTCTGCAGGACTTTTGGTATTGAAAATGGGCTATGTAGATCCACGTCTTCGTATAGCCCCCATATAACGGTACCACCCGATATGTGGTATTTTATGATTCTAGCGACATTTTTTACCGGAATTGTTTCAATTTTGGTATTTGAAGTTCGTAATGGATACTACATCCTAAGGCAGAAAATGAGTCATGTAGGTCCAGGTCTTCGTATAGCCCCCATATAATGGTACCCCCCATATCCGGTATTCTGATAAATTTAGCGACATTATTTACCGAAATTGTTTCAAATTTGGTATTTGAAGTTCGTAATGGATACTACAGCCTATGACAGAAAATTGTCTGTGCAGGTCCACGTTTTCGTATAGCCCCCATATAACGGTACCCCCGATATCCGGTATTTTGATCATTTTAGCGACGTTATTTATCGGAATTGTTTCGAATTTGGTATTTGAAGTTCGTAATGGATACTACATCCTAAGGCAGAAAATGAGTCATGTAGGTCCAGGTCTTCGTATAGCCCCCATATAATGGTACCCCCGATATCCGGTATTCTGATAAATTTAGCGACATTATTTATCGGAATTGTTTCAAATTTGGTATTTGAAGTTCGTAATAGACACTACAAAATAAAACAGAAAATGGGCCATGTAGGTCCACTTCTTCGTATAGACCCCATATAACGGTACCTCCCGATATTCGGTATTCTGATGATTTTAGCGACATTTTTTACCGGAATGTTTTGAAATTTTGTATTTGAAGTTCGTAATGGATGCTACAGCCTATGACAGAAAATTGTCTGTGCAGGTCCACGTTTTACAACTCCCCTGGTTCCTCCCTATATTCGGAATTTTAACGATTTTAGCTAATATTATAAACAGTTTTTTTTTTTCAAGTTTCGCATTTGAATATTGTAATAGCTTGTGACAAAAGTTGCCTACGCAGGTCCACGTCGTCGTATAGACTCTAATATACGGCTACATTAGGTATTTTCAAGATTTTAAAAGAATTTTTAACGGATTTTATTTTTTTGAAAATTGTTAAATTTGTACCAAATGGTGGAGGGAATTCAAACTTCGGCCCGGCCGAACTTACAGCTTTTTTACTTTTTCTTTCCTAACAACACAGTCTACACAGAAAAAGAGAATGAGCCGCTGGGAAGAGCATTGAGCTGTGTTTGGTAAAAGTTTACGCCGGCGTAAACTTTATACTTGAATGTGGAAAGAGGAAAATTAACAGAGAAAAGAAAACAAACACAAAACAAAAGTTGCGAAAACAGAAACACAAACTCAAAACAAGTTTTCTATTTACCAAAGAACTCACAGTGATTTGGAAATGTAACTGCTGCTCCATGAGATTGGAGAAATTATTGATTTGGGTTTCAAAGAGCAAAACTGGTTCGTGGAAAATTAAATATGGGTGGTTAACGGAATTAATATTCCTTAAATTAATATGAGGTCTGGTAAAGGGCTGCTATGGCACTCCCAAATGTAAAAATTATATTCATATTTAAATAATCTCATTTTTGGTAACCACTGTGCCATTTGTACTCTCCTAAGAAAAAAGGAACTCAATGTGTGTGTTTGTTGTTTTAACTGTAGAATGTTTCTTCATCTTCTGGTTGTCGGTCGGTCGCTTGTTTCAGCTTTCGCTCTAAGTTGTAATTCAACAAACGAGTGTTTTTGTTGTTAGTTTGCCCACAACTGCTATAAGTTAAGGTGTTCGAGATTTAAGTAACCACAGTTAACCAGTGACCACTCAACAGTCGTGGTGGTCGGGTATTTTTTTCTCCTTTTTTATTTTGTTTTTGAATGCGGGAAGTGCGTTACGGTTGGCTTTCAATAGAAAACCAGAAATCCTCCAAAAAATAGAAAATAGTGTTAATTTAAAAAATTTAAAACAAATTGAATAAAAAAAAAACAAAATAAAAATAAAAACTCAGTAAAAGGTGTGAAAGTTAAGCTCAATATCACGAAAACAGGTGAATAATTTAAAAAAAAATTACTTGAAAAAAAAAAAACAAAATTAAATAAAAAACGATCAATAAATTGGAGTTCCACTACTCCAGTTTTGAAAACAAATATAAAAAACAATTTAAAAAAGTTTAAAAAGTCTAAAAAAACATTTATTATGTATGAATATTTTGCAATAATTATGTTAAATAGAATAATAAAAAAAATCTGTATATTGAGAAATTGCTCCGCTTTATTACATTCATTTTTGCTTCGATAATTTTGAAATGAAGCGTTAAATTAAAAAGTGTTAGATACAAATTTTATAAGCGGGGATTTCATTTCATTACAATTCTTGATGTAATGATTCTAAGTTACTGCAGCATGTGTATATACCTTAAGTTGTTGTTATTGTTTTATTATAAAAAAAAAAAAAATAATTAAATCGAAAATTTCATTGTAAATTTGCGAGATGGGGAATTACTCAGAATAATAAAATCAATACCAACTTCGAATTATGATCATTGCCTCTAATTGAATTTAAGAGAATAATATCGATTCATAAAGCGGGAAAATTCAATAAATTAGAGAATTATATTCAATAGTCATAAATAAAACCAGTAAAGAAAGTCCTAAGGTCGGGCGGGGCCGATTTTATGATACCCCACACCACTTTGCTAATTTAGTTGAGATCCACATAACAATTAAAAGTTTTTATGGGAGAATTCAATCATACACGCTATGAATATAATTTTAATTTAAAGTTCAAAAGACTAAATATGCCGAAGCATTTGTATCTTTTAAATTCGGATTTGTATTGCACATTTGGTGCACAATTAATTTGAAATCGGATAAAGATATATATGGGAGCTATATATCCAAATCGGAACCGATCTCCATAAAATTTTGCAAATATATTTCTGAGCTATATTTCACATATTTCCCTGAATATCGTTCTTACGGAGTGCATATTACGGCTGTGGGTAACAAATATAAAAAAATCGGATGAACAATATATATGGGAGCTAAAGCTATATCTGAACCGATCTTCACCAAATTTGACATACTAGCTTCTAGACTCAATTCGGTTATAAGTGCCAAATTTCATCCAATTTGGGCAAATATTAGAAGTTTGGTGTACAATAAAAGGTAAATCGGACGAAGTTATATATGGGAGCTATATCCAAATCTGAACCGATCTCGATCAAATTTAGCAAATGTATTTCTGAGATGTATTTTATATATTTCCCTGAATATCGTTGTTACGGAGTGCATATTACGGCTGTGGAGGACAAAAATAACAAATCGGATGAACAATATTTATGGGAGCTATAGCTATATCTGAAACGATTTCGATCAAATTTGGCATACTTATTTTCAGGCCTAATTTGGTTGTATAAAATTCCATACTATTCGGACTGATATTACAAGTTTGGTGCACAATAAAAGGTAAATCGGACGAATATATATATGGGAGCTATATCTAAATCGGAAATTTTGCAAATGTATTTCTGAGCTGTATTTGATATATTTCCCCAAATATTGTTGTTACAGAGTGCATATTACGGTTGCGGAGGACAAAAATAACAAATCGGATGAACAATATATATGGGAGTTATAGCTATATCTGAACCGATTTGGATCAAATTTGGCATACTTATTTTCAGGTCCAATCTGATCGTACGTGCAAAATTCCATACTATTCGCAATAAATAGCAAATCGGACAAGGATATATATGGGAGCTACATCTAAATTTTGACCGATTATCTCCCATTTCAATAGGGTTCGACCTTGAGCCAAACAAATCATTTGTGCAAAATTTCATCTGGATAAGGCAATAAATGCGAACTGTACTTTGTTTACAAAACGGACAGACATGCATAAATCGACTTAAAATGTGATTCTATGCAGATCAACAAAAGGAACTATGGTTCTATCTCGTTTCCTTTTGCCTGTTACAAACATTATATGCACAAAGACATTATACCCTGACCACCTTGTCGTGTAGCGTATAAAAAAAAAAAAAACATATAAAAATGTGGCTTTATTGTATGACCCTATCCCGCAAATTTCTAAAGTTGTACGTTGAAGGTGGATTTTCTGGCAAAATAGGTCGTTAATATTGGGGCTTTGGAGTTAAGTCTTTTGGAGTCGACTCCGACTCAAGATCAGAAAAATTAAAAAGTTGCAGTAAAAGCTTTCGATATTCTTTTTTTATTGGAGTAAAATATTGTTATTTTTGCCTGTGTTTGTGCAGTTGTTGGCATTATAAAGGTGAGAATACATAAAAAGCTTTTTTTGACTGGCATTAAGTCATAGGCTGGCATATTTGTGAAAGAGCAAAGGAGCTTTAGGTTGACTTAGTTGAATTTTGGAATATTATTTTATGAAAAGGCCAGCCGACGACTTAAGCCAGTTAAAAAAGCGTTGTATGTACTCCCACCTTAAAATGTATTGTCTGTCATTTACAAAGTTTCGGTTGGCTTATGTAGTTATGGTCGAATCTAGTGGCAACATAAACTTCGTTGGGATTAAAAGCGAAAAAATAATTTCAACAATTTTGTTCGTGTGTAGCATGTTACAATTACGAGGTACAGCTAACAGCTTCGTTAAAATACAGAAATACAGCTCTGAGGCTATGATCGCTTTCTATCAGAAAATTAGTGCAATGCCTGCATTTTTTTTTCAAAGATAGGATCCAACCTGTTCAATTCCATGGTTAGTATCTTTAATGCAATCGTACATTGTAGACGTTTCTATCAATCATTGATTTGAAAATATATATTTTTTTTATTTTTCAAATCAATTAATATACAAAATTGGCAGAAGTTGGCAAGGTGAGAATACATAGAAAAATTTTTCTACTTTTTAAATTTTTTCCAAAAATATGTAGATTTGTATATGTTTTCCAATACGACGGAGATCGCAGGTTGTTATGATATGTATTTTCAAACAATTTTAAGAAATTTGAAACATTTTTAATTCAAAAATTTCAAATCCAAAATTGGTTTGATTGTCCCAGCACCTGCGTCGATACGACTACGTGTATTCTTCGACCATGTTTACACCTTTAGGATGTGAGTTTATTAGCAGTTCCGCTTCATGACTAGGAAAAATGACGGCAGCATTCGAGTGTTAATCTGATATCTCTTTATGATGTGTCACAATGTATGCCATGCGAAAACTTCAAGCTGCTTATGCATCCACACCTTTAGAAACAAATTTCATTCAGCTGGTAGATCTACCTTACCTTTTTATTGTACCATGATATCTAGTATTTTTTCATATTAAAAATATGCTACACTGATAGATGTTCTCACGATCGGAATCTGCGTACTAACGGAAATCACCATTTATTAGTTTTTTTCCTAGATCATAATATTTTGTAAATATTTTGTATTTACAGCCTGTTTTTGTAACATTATTTTTTACTTTCGTTTGGAATTTTATCAAAAGAAAATACCTTTTAAATAGTAATAGTAATTTATACTCTGTTTCTGCAAGCATCTACTGGTTTTGCAATTTTTTAAATTATTTTTTTACGCGCTTGAATTTGAAAAGATTTCCGTGATTTTCCAATGGTACGTTTACATTAGAAAATTTTACCGGGTTATTTTGAAATTGAAAATGTTAAATGCAGAATTATTCAAATTTATAAAAATTATTAAAAAATGCATATCAAAACAACCACCGATTGGCGTCGAACAGGAAAACCTATAAAAGTCTACTTATTTTTCAAAAAAAAAATTATTTTTTTTTTTGACATATCAATGTTCCCATGGGATTGGCAATTTGTAATTTTTTTATTTGGCGGTAAACGTATTATTATTTGTATCAACACTTAATGAATTTTCAGATAATAAATTTATTACCCTTAAATAATTAAATTTTCACTATAAAATTGCAGTTTTTGGTTTAATTTTCTCAAAAGTTTAAAATATTATCGAAAAAAAATTATGCAAAACATCAGTTTTATTGATTGATTTTATTGTATGTTGTTCGATAACAATTTGCCATACTTGTACGAGAGAGAGAGAGAGAACATTCTCTCTGCACATGTTAGTAAATACGATTTACTGGGAAGTTATTGTACACCCCTAATATCAATTTAAATATTTGCGTAATTTCTTGCGAAATTACATATCTTATTGGAAAACCCTTTACTACTGGTATCTAGTTATTTCCGATGTTATGTTTTGTGTCGCATGAACCCGAAACCGTTTTTATTTTGTGTTGAAATTGTTAGCTAAAAATATATTTTTGTCAGTTTAGACTCTTAATTGTCAAATTTAATAAGAACATTCAAACAAAACAAAAACTTTTTTGCGGAGATAAATTAACAGAATGAAAGCATGCGGAAAATCTGAACTGGTTAAAATTCAATTTGGCACGTAAATAATTTTAAGAGCTTCGTTCTTTAAATATTTATTTTTAGCATATTTTAGCTCGCTCTCAAAGATTTGAAACTAATACTTAAGACAGCTTTACATCGACACGTATTTATTTATTTAAATTTGTAAAAATTGTTAAAAAAATGCACATCATAACAACCTCCGATTGGCGTCGTATAAGAACACTTATAAAAATCTACTTATTTATTATAAACACATTTTGACATATCAATGTTCACAAGCGTTGATGCATCTACCTGTACTCTTCTACCACTACAATGTTGCAAAAGGCAAAGTTTAGCCTAAAAACACTAAATATAAATATGAAAAATGTCGGTTTATATATACAGGGTGGGATAAAAAAACTGCAACAAAGTCAAACGCCATAATTTTTACATTTTTCTAATTTTATTAAATGAAAGGAAAAAATGTCGGAAATAGCATAAAATTTAAGAATAAGTTTAGATTTGTTCGAATTGGACATTCTTGGCACGAATTATGGCCTTCAAACGGCCAATGAAACCATCACACTCTGCCCAAATGTTGCTCTGCGGTATTTTGGCTCATTCCCGGCGAAGCGTTTGCTTGAGGTGATCGATACTTTGGTATTTTTTAGTGCCAACCTTGCATTAAAAAA